TTGTGTTAAAAAAATGTAATTGTTTTATTAAAATACCTTATATTAAGCAAGTGATTAAACGTTATTCAATTATCAAAATAGAGAATATATTGTGACAAGTATGGAAATGTTTTATTGAAATATACCCTAAAATCGTTGCAAATAAAACTAATACTATATAAACCAATACTTTACATAATAAAACAAATAAATATAGAAAAAACTTATCAATGTATGGTAAGGGATACACCCAAACACAATATATTATAGTAATAATAAAAGAAATTCGTCATCACCATCAGCCTATCAGAGTCCACTGCTGAGCCTCTTCTCACATGGAGAAGGTTTGAGCATTAATCACCACGCTTGCTAAAGACGGGTTGATGATTCCAAACTTATAATTGTGAAATGATAAGTCCAGGTTTCCTCAAGATGTTTTCCTTCACCGTCTGTCAGTGTTGTCTAAATAGTCTTAGAAAGTACGTATGATTCGGAAAAATGGCTGGTTTCGAACCCGTGCCCTCATGTATGAGAGGCGGGTCTTTAACCACTAGGCCACCATTAAAGTTATATATCACTTATATTATGAATACACATCATTTTATTAAGTGTATCGCACACAAGTGCCCGTACACAAACACTAATTTTAAATAACCAATCATTTATGCAACAGAAGGAGAGAGTAGCTTAAAAAAATAACTTATTAGTGTTCTCTAAAGCTTGTTTGGTATGGTTAAAAGCAAGCGTGGTGATACTCAAATATTCCCCATGTGAGAAGAGGCCTTTGTTCAGCAGTGGGCTGAGGAATTCCTGTTAAAACTCATTTAACATATTAGCTTGCAGTCTATCTCGGAAAAACAATCAGACCAACATAAAACATGCTGAAAGAATATACATTAATTACTGTTAAAAAAAGCTTTAATTTCATTCTCGTGAATATCCAAACAAAATGCTATGAATTTGTTTAGATTTTTCTTTGTGCTAGAAGCGACATCTAGTGGAGAGTAGCGTAACCTGTGGATTATATAAAAAACGATTAATAAATCTATAAAAGATCCCAAAAGTAAATATTAACAAACATTAAAATTCAATAAATATTTTTTTGTACTCTAGATGTAAGGAGCCACAATAAAAATGGCAAGTAAACTAACCTAACCCTTTTTTTGTTAACACTGTGAAAGGTTTTATACCTATCCTCTGTCTAGGGCAGACGGAGGCGGTTATGAGGTATTCACGGACCAGAAAGGACCATGCTATCCACTAAAATACCAGAGGTCATCTTCACTCCTCGCCTAGTGGATCGCCACGGGAATCTTGTAAGGTATGCGTCCGCGACGTTCCGACGGCAGGCTGCGAATAGAAACCCCCTTTCCGAGGCTCACACCAAGTGACTTGAAACGTCCTCCTGACTGGCATCCTTGCTTAATCCCAAGAGCCATTAAACAAGCCTTAACCCCTTACCTCTCCCACCCAAGCCAACGCGCCCAATCTCCAACATCCACCACCGATCGCAAATCGTCTAATCCATGACAAAGCGGAAATCGGCCATCAAGTGAACTCAAGACTATGGAGAAACCTGAGTTTTCCATTACTGTATTCAACGGCGAACCAAGACAGCCACGAACGGCCTCCTCGCTAGCCATCCGCGACCGTCTACATCCCAAAGCCGTTCACTTAATATAAATGTATAATTCAAGATCATCAGCCCATCAGAGTACACTGCTGAGCCTCTTCTCACCTGAAGAAGGTTTGAGTATTAATCACCACGCTTGATCAAGACGGGTTGGTGATTTCAAACTTATAATTGTGAAACTATAAGTCCAGGTTTCCTCACGATGTTTTCCTTCACCGCATGTCAGTGATGTCTAAATACTCTCATAAAGTACATATGACTCCGAAAAGTCACATTGGTACTTGCCAAGGTTTGAACCCGCGCCCTCAGCAACGAGAGGCGGGCCCCTTAACCACTAGGCCACCACTGACACTGACTTCTTTATAACTAATAATTTTACTTCGTTCGGTTTTTACTATTTTTGTTTATATCTCCTGTTCCATTCATGAAGAGTGTCCTTATAGATCTGTTGCTCCACAAATTAGACTGGACACTTATTATATTACATGTGGAGGAGATTTTGGGTGAATCAACCTGACCTCTCGACTTCACCATCTTCCTTTTAATCTTTTTTGATATCAAATAGTACAGCTGCCTCTTTCTTATAAAGAACCTGGTGTTGATAGTGTAGCATAAGTACATACCGACAAATTATAATAAACCATTCAATGTTATCTTAGTTCGCATTTTTCTTACGCTGGAAGATAGCCCCCTATTTCTTTTGGTCCATAGTTTTTGTTATATCTATATGATATATTTCTCTGATACAATTCAATTACTTTATTGCTATTTATAATCAGATAAAACAAGCTCTTTTTTTCTCCAAGTCATTGCCATTAAACCAAAAGTAACAGCTACTTGTAGCTAGATGGCACTGTTTCAAGTAAAACTGATTTAAATTAATAATGTTCAACAATCATAAATAATTTATTTATAAGAGCAGTTAATTAATTTTCATAACAAATATATATATTAAGTATTAATATGATGTCCAAATATTATTTCTTCATTAAACATAATGTTGTTACATTTTGATTGTTCTAGATGACTTCGTTTCAAACTGTAATATTTGACTTATTTAGAAGCATTTTTTCTTAAATTCATTGAAAACATATTTAATTAAATTTATCGATCAAATTAATTTTTCTTTTCTGTTTCATCATTAATTGTACTATAAAAATGATATAACGATGATAAGAATTAAAAAAATTAATATGTCTAATATGGAGAAGGAAAATAAATAAAACTTATTTTTAAGAGAAATTATATATATTTCAATATTTTTCCACATTTAATACACGGCACCAGCTACAATTATATTTAAAAAAAACTTTTCGTTACCATCCTATCACAATTTTCACACGAATACAGAAAAAAAACGAAATACATTCAAAATACTAGAAATAAATAAATATTTCTAATTTACACAAAAAATAAGCGTCACAAACTACCATGGCGTGATTTCTACCAAATTCTACTGAAATAGTAGAAATTTATATATATATATATAATAATTTTTAGACATATATATATAATAATAATAATAAAATATCACCAAACTGAATATTATTATATTTATAAACTAAATAATAAGCCTCCATTAATGTAATTTGTCATTAAATAAAATATTGTAAGATTGTTTAAATGTTGAATATTTTGTACAATATATGCACCCTAATAATAATTGTAAATGAAAGACTAGCAATACTATTGTTAATATTTAATATTTGATTATTTTGAATCTAAAAAAGATAGTTTGACATAAAAAAAACTCTAAATTTCTCTTTAATATTGATACAAACGAAATATCACTTCTACTATAATGACTTTGAAATTCCTCTAAAGTTTTTAGTACACGCCAAAAAATATTTTCACAAATATATTTTAAATCATCAAAAAATGGGAAACGATACAACTTTATAAAACTAAGGTTAAGTTTGGCAAGAATTCAAATGAATTAATATATCTTAAATAACAATATATAGAAAATCATTCAAAAACTTATAATAAAAAAAATCCTAAGTCAAAATAATATATGACATAATATATTTTTAATTCCGATATAGAAAAATAAACAGACTATAACATTCTACATTCAGCCACACATTGGTGTTGCCATTTTAATATAATATACTTATTTATTTAACCTACTCACGCTTAGCTTTTACAACTAGGCACCTTGCTTATAATCTGGACTAGTTTAAATATACAGATTTATGAACTTAGATTGGCTGTATGGAATAAAACATTCATAAAAGAAAATTATCTGATAGTTGACAAAAGAAATGGCGGGAAAATTTTAGTAAAAAAATGACTAAATAAGAATAAAATAATGTTTTGATTACTAAATAAAGTGTAAAGCCAATCTAAGAACTAAATTAATTTTAGTTTTAGTCTAAAAGAACCGTCTAAGTTAGTTAACTTTGTTCAAGTTGAGATCAGAAACATTTTAGGCGAACTTAAAATGCATTGGAATCTTTCGAAATGCAACAATGAAATGTTTAAAGTACGTAATACTGCTTATTATTATTTTTATCTATTTTTTTTATTTATATAAAGCGAAAGTCGCGGGTTAAAGCTAAATAAATGTTTACGATACACACTTAAATTAAATATTCGAAAAATATATTTTAATTTCTAAATTATAATCATCGGATACCGAAGTCAACTACATTATTTTTGTATTTTTGTTTTTATATGTTCTCGTTTACATGGATTCTAAAAATATTTTGGAATATCTAGTTAAGAGTATTTTTTTATGAAATTTAAATATGAATGAAAAATTAACGCTTTGTTTTACTTTATGTTTAATAAAATATGGCGTTTCTAAAATTAAACATTCCCATATATAAGTTGGAATCTTAGCACTAACTGTATTTTTCATCTTTTCGATGAAAAGTTGAAAATCAGTCCCTTAAAAACACAATATTTTTTCATCTCAAGTGAGAAATATTTGACATAAATAAATTGAATAAAAAAAAAACCAGCTTCTATACAGCAAAAGCCGCGGCACAAATACTATATTGCTCGTTATATAATCAGGGGCACTGTTGTAGTCTTGGGAGAGCAGATTATTGCTTAGCGTTAGTGAAAACGAAAATGTCTTGAGACACACTCAAATCTGTGTCACAACAGTGTCATGTCTGTGTCACAACAGTGTCATGTCTGAGTCACAACAGTCTCAACACTGTGTCACAACAGCCTCAAAACTGTGTCACAAAATCTCAAGTCTGTGTCACAAAATCTCAAGTCTGCGTCACAACAGTCAAGTCTGTGTCACAACAGCCTCAAAACTGTGACACAAAATCTCAAGTCTGTGTCACAACAGCCTCAAAACTGTGTCACAAAATCTCAAGTCTGTGTCACAAAATCTCAAGTCTGCGTCACAACAGTGTCAAGCGTGTGTTGTCTATAGCGGAGTCTCCTTCCTCCACTGGAAGGCGTTGGTCTTGACCGCTGGGTTGGAGGAACTGGCGCTGGCTGCTAACGCTACACCCGTACGACGAATGTTGGCTGCGGCGCTGTCTGTCATACAACAACAACAATATATATAAAGACATAACATAGAATAATGTTAATCCCTACTAATATTATAAATGCGAAAGTAACTCTGTCTATCTGTTTCGCTTTCACGCCTAAACCACTGAACTGATTTTAATGATTGGTACAGAGATAGAGTTGACCTTGAGAAAGAACATAGGATAGTTTTTATCTCAGACTTTTGAAAGGTTCTCTTGGAAACGCGATATAACCGAACTCCACACGGGCGAAGCTGCGAGCGGAAAGCTAGTATATTTACAAATGGACAAAGAAATAATGATATAAACGAGTATTGTATTTTATAACTAGAGAAATAGATGTGTGTGTGATAACTTGTCAAAGTAACAGAGTTATTATATGATTATGGAACAAATTTATATTATTACTAGTAGATCTGGCGAACTTCGTATCGCCCTATAATCAAGAAATATCTATTACGTTTTTATATTTATATTTTTGGAGTTTACCTGTAAGCCATAAATCTCTGTGTTTTGAAGTGCGACAGAATGATTTACATATTAGTTAGCTTTGTCAAATCTAATGTCAAAAAAAACGTTTGTATGGGAAATAGAAAAGGGCTGTTTTTATGGTTTTCCCAGTAATGAATCAATTTTTTTCAGCTTTTATACCTTCCCTGAACCTCCACGAACATTTCAAGACTAAGATAAGATAAATCCGTTCACCTGTTCTCGAGTTTTAGCGAGACTAAGGAACAGCAATCCATTTTTATATATATAGAAGATTTGTGTATGTGTACAATATATATACACATATAAGGTTCTGTGATACCCTGTGATGTTAGGCAGACCCTGGCTAAAGCTGGGAGGTTGCCAGGAAGAAGAAGATATAAGGTTCTGTAGTCTCAAACTCACCCAGTCCATTCCTAACGTTAGCGACTAGACGCATCGCCGGGTTGGTAACGATGCCGTTCCTCTTGTTCTTACTGAAACAAATAATATTTATCATTTTAATACTTAATAAATAATAATTTACAATTATTCTTAATCAATTACATGCTCTTGTTAGTAAGCTGTAAGTTCATTAAGCACCAGTGATGCAGGTCAGTCGTTGGATGGGTTACCGATTTGATATTTTATGTTCCTACTTATAGAATCTTTGTTCTCTTTAATGAATATTTCCAAAAATCCCCATACGTGCATTACATATATACAATACTATATGTCTAAAACTCCGATGAATGAAAATGTTGATAAGTCGTAACCAAAACCTTTTAACTGTAACACTGATAGAAAATAACAATTAAACTTAGTAAATAATATGAAAAATATGAAATTTAACACTTGTAGAGCTTAACCGATCCTGCAAAAACGGGTTATGCTCTACAAGTAACTCCTAACAATGCCACAGTAGACTATACCCGTCCTTTTCACTCACGTTTTCTTTAATATCTTGCCCCTGCTCCTTCCAAAACTCCCCAATACTCTGCATAACATTCGAGTCGCCATAATCACCTCGCTAGCCACATATATATAAATAACTAAACATTATATACAAAATCATTAATATATAATAATAAACTATATTAAACCTAAACCTTTGCCATAAACAGCGGTCAGAAAAAAAATATTTTGACAGATGCGAAATGTCACTTTGACGTTTATGACGTTTAGGTTTACTAAGTATAGTTTAGATTATTTAATTACTAACATATCTACATATAACACATGTCCCTTTAAATATATACATGCAACATAGTTAAAAGTAATTCATCACAGATACCACAGATAAAAAATCTCATACATGAAAAATATAATAATATATATGGATAAAAAATCCATTGAAATAATGAAAATATTGTGAGAAAACATCACACGTGCATTTGAAAGACATTTAAAAATGCTTGAAAAATATATATACAAAGAGCTACATAAGAACATTTAATAATCAATATACATGTCAACAAAATCACAAAAAAAATTATGCAGAAGCTTTTTTTTTATTAAAAAAAAGGACAGACAATAAAAAGCCAAGTTTAATGGTGCTACAAAGTCACAAAACATCTATAGCCTTACCCCAAGTATAGTCCGTTAGACTTAAGCTGAGCTTTGCATTTGTGTGAGTGAAAGTAAAAGTAGAGTTAGAAAAAAAAAACTTTTAGAATTAAATTTTATTATATTTTAAATAGATACATAACATAAGTGCTATAAATAAGCAAAACTTGTAAAAGGCCAGATGAAAATATTATGAAACCGGTTCAAAACTAGAAAAGCACGTACGTGGCATTCAAAAATTTGACATCACACCTACACTACACCCACACAAGCAAAGCTCAGCTTAAATCAAACGCACTATACCCCAAGTTACTACATACGGAGCGTTAATAGTTTTCATTCACATTTAATAGTATTAACGTAATTTTGCATGTATAGTATTTTTATTATATTCACTCCATTAAACTGTGCAAAAGTGGAAACTTGTGGGCTTATGTAATAATTTCTAATATGTGAAAACTATTATGTGTATATGCTGTTTGTTTCCAAATAAATCCTACTAATATTATAATTGCGAAAGTTTGTGAGTGTGTGTGTGTTTGTTACTTCTTCACGCTCAAACAGCTGAAGCGATTTTGATGAAATTTTGTATACAGGAAGCTGACGTCCAGAAATAAGACATAGGCTACTTTATATCTCGGAAATCTTGGAAATCTGCGGGACGCAGCTAGTGAATAAATAAATAGTCTAGTAGCAAGTTCCTATTCCCCCCCCCTTTCCCCTCTTCTAGTCAAACTCACCCATCGCTCCTCTCAGCGTGTTTGTCTCTGCCCAATATAATCCTCATATGCGTGTCTCTATTGAAGTGGTTGTCTGTCAGCCCCGGGGCGCTTGTTAGACTGGCAGGCTGAGAACCTAGATGAATATATACCATGTATATAAAATATAAAAAAGCAGGAAACTTTTTGACATGGTTACACTTTTTAATATTATAAACAATAAGATTGATTATGCTAATTTACTTGCAGAAATAAACTTTATTACAAAAGCTCGACTTCCTTGTCATAAAAACTACACCCGTAACAATTTCTTTTCACGTAGCATAACAACTTATACCAAAGAATTTAATGATATTGATCTTTTCAATAATTCCTTGAATACTTTTAAAACCAAAATCGCAGGAAAACTTCACTTATAATATATTAAACGATTTGATGTCTTTCTTCTCTTTTCGTTTTTTAAAAAATGTATTAGTGACTAAAATTATTTTTTTATTTTATTATTTACTTGTTCTCTATTTAATAGTTTAAGATATGTATATGTTTAGACGACTTTCGCCCATGTTTTCAAGCTGATGTTGTTAATATATATATTCTAAATATATTCAAGTTTGGACACTCCTTGTCTTTATGTTACTCAATTTTAGATAGATCATTGTAGTTTTATATTAATGACTGTTTGTGTCAAAATAAAGAGAAAAAAATAATAATAAATAACCTTTGGATAACCGTTGTTAAGTGTTTCTTGACAAAATTTTCCTTATCACTTGGTACAGAGTAAAAATCTAACTCAATCGTCCTATCTCCCTCTCTCACTCTAAGATATGTATCTCTCTCACTCTAACACATATCTCCCTCTCACTCTAACACACATATATATATATATATATCTCTCTTTCTCACCAGCAGGCGGGTCAGGGCTCCGCGGCTCGCTAGGGCTCCTAGGTGGCGAAGCATACAGCGGGCTAGTGGCGCCGTGTCTTTGTTCCCGTCTTCTGTCTCTTTCCCTCGCATATCCGTGAAGCTCGCTGTCTCTCTCATTCGCTATATAACTCCTGTTCAAATGATAAATACAATTATTACATATGAAGCTTTTTCAACTACAGTAATACCCCGCTTAACGCGACCCCGTTGTGCGCGGTTTCACTATAACGCGATTTTCAAAAATTGTGTCAAACGATTAAAAACTGTGTTGGGTGTTATGAACGTATTTTACAAGAACGTAAACAAAACGCTACTCAAAAGACAATACATGTATTTTTTCATAAAAATATAGGAGTACCTATGTATTGTACAGTGTTCTTAGAATTAAAGTGATTGATTAAAATGATTTTTATATTTGTGTATTAAATTTTGACTGTGTTTAATCATAAACCTCGATATACGCGAATTTCGGTTAATGCGATTTTCTTCGGAACGTATCCCTCGCGTAAAGCGGGGTATTACCGTACTTTTATTATGTCATTCATTATAATATCTATAGTTCAAGATTTTCCAGGTGTTATTAAATAATTTCCAGGTGTATTACCTCAGCTTTGAGTCCTGTTCTAGCACCTGATGTTCTGGTATAGGTTCGTCTCTGTCTATCTCCCGTCTCGCTCGCCCACATCGCGCCACCTGCTGTGCGAAAGAGAGGGAAGCCTGTGGACAGAACATGGCATTATAACATTAGCTATAAGTTTTTTTTATTAATTTTTATTCTCTTTTTTTTATTTTAATATTTATTTTATTTATTTATTTAAGAACCACTAGTAGCTACTACATGTTTAAATGCCAAATGTAAAACAAATTAATGAAAATAGGTAACATGTGAAGCTTTTTAAAGTGGCCACAACGATTACAATGTTTGTTTTAAAAATACATTAATACATAATTATAGCGAGAAAGATTAAAAATAATAGTAATAATAATTTTAAATTGATAAAAATTAAAAACCACAAAGAATAAACATGCACTTAATAAAATTAAATTTCCTTATTGTTTATGTTATTTTTTTTAGTCATGTTGTGGTGTGATCCAAATAAAGTTCTTATCTATCTATCTATCTATCATAATACTGAGTTGTTCATCATCTATCATCATTTATTCATCATCACCTTATCATCATCGTCGTGTGATCGGTTGGAGCCGCCCGTCATGTTTGACGATGATTTTGTTGAGTTCGAGCTGTGGATACTGCGGCGTTTGTATTCTGGGGAGGCTGGGGAATATAGATATATTGGTTATTACTACATATGTATATATATAAGAAATTCCAAATAATTTTTTTAATTTAATGTAAGTCTTCTAGATATGTCTTCATCTATTACGACCTGAATTAACTATTAATTTAATTTTATATGTCCTATCCTAACTAATATTATAAATGCGAAAGTAACATTGTCTGTTACGCTTTCACGCCAAACCATTGAACTGATATTAATGAAATTTGGTACAGAGATAGAGTTGAACTTGAGAAAGAACATAGGATAGTTTTTGTCCTAGAATTTTGAAAGGTTCTCTTGGAAACGCGATATAACCGAACTCCACGAGGGCGAAGCTGCGGGCGGAAAGCTAGTAAATAAGAAATTACTAAAAATAAAATTAATTTAATGTGCGTAAATCTTCTAGAGATGTGTTCATCTATTATGACCTCCATTTATTAGTAATTTTATATTATTTATTTATTTATTTATGTACCAAAAAGAGAAAAATATTTACAATTAAAGTATTATAAAAGAAATGTGATGTACAAAGGATAACTTATCTCTTAAAAGAGATCTCTACCAGAAATTCTTTGTCTTATGTATAAATAAATATACATATGAGTCTATATACGGTACATATACCAAAAAGACATGTATATCATTGTCTGTTTGTTCTACTCTTCTACCTGGCAATTTCCCAGCTATAGCCAGGGTCTGCCTTACAACACCTGCTACATCTGTAATACCTGGTCTCTTCTCCTCGTGTGTGAGGGGCGCGGGCGGCGCGGAGGGGGCGCTCCATCGCTCCAGAAGTCTGCAGATATTCGCGTGTCCAGCCCTCCACGCTACTTTTGCAGGTGTTCGACCTGGAAAACATATAATAAACATTTTATTATGTATATATCACATTTAAAGGTTTCTATTGAAGTAAATTCTTTTACAGGAGAATTTCAACAACAATATTATTAGTTTCATTTAAACTGAATAATAGTTTAAATCGGGTATAATTACTCTAGGGACCAAATTATAGCACCGGAATAATAATTAATTCGTTTTCACAAATTAATTATCCAAAGAGTCAAGGTATAACAAGCGAAGTACAACTAGTGCACCGAGCCACGCCAGAGCCAAGACTATTATTAGTTTTATCTATCAATATAAAATACTTTATTTTACAATCTAGTCTACTGACTAATAAGTAAATAAATTTGATCTTTCAGTGCTGCGAGAATTTGATTAGTATACAAAACTGTATTAATGCTTATATGTATTATAATATTTATCACAATAGTGTGACTAAAGTGTAGGACCAAAAAAAAACAAATCATTTTACATACTGTACAGAAGTAACAAGAAATAATAAATTCAGTACATTCTCATAATATAATCCACAAATTATTATCATTTCACTACCCTTGTTCACAATCAGGTTACTATCTGATAGTTTGTCCCATGATCTTTGGCTAAAGGTCATTGGTCACTGTAAGTCAAAGGTCAAGTCATTATATAGGTCAAAGGTCAACAATTGAACTCAAATACATACCACAATGGTCAGCCTGTAAAGGATCAGCTCCATGTTGGAGTAGCCACAACACACATTCTTCATGACCTTCTTGCGCAGCTATACCTGAATATACATATAATAATGAAAACAGACACGAAACCTCTCATCATTCAATGTATTCACGGTGCGTGTGTTGGGTCCATCGTTGTAGTGAGAGGAGCTTCAACAGTGACTGGGACTTGTGACCCAGGTGTAGGTTTAAGGGACCCTATCTAACGCGTTAAACGTTCACCCCCACCGTCCAAGCTCCTCTCTCTACCTAACACAATTTGAAAAGAACCTACCTATAAGTTTTTAAATATATGACGTAATAAAACTGTGTGTCAGATACACTTTATTATTCTGTATTCGGGTGGCTTAAACCTAGCCTGATAAAGGATAACAAGCAAAATCGTGAATCCACATTGGGAGCATGTTGTTATTAATAATAATTATTAAAAACTCGTAGAAAATTTGAAATATTTTTCGTATATACTACGCATGCTTTATTTTTGTAAAAAACTACATACTACCGTCGTATCGGCTACTTTTCAGCAACCGTGATCATGAAAACGAAATGTAAAAACATACTCGCGAAACTCTCAGATCTTTTTAAATATTACTATCATTTCGACTATATAGTAACTATATATATGTGTCTGTATGTGTTTGTGTGTGTGTCTATATACATGTCTGTGTGTGTGCGGGTGAGTGTATGTTCTCTATGTCTGTGTGTCTGTGTGTGTGTGTACCCAGCGGCGTGGCCCCCTGCGTGCAGACGGCGGCGGGGTCCGCCCCTTGCTCCAGCAGGGCCCGCAGCACGCCCGCCCGGCCGCGCCACGCCGCCGCGTGCAGCGCCGTGCGGGCGCAGCGGTCACGACCGTCCACTGACGCACCGCCTACAACATACATATACATGATTACTAACATACATATATATGTAAGGGGCCGTTCAAGTATTACGTAATCACTATGGCGGGGCGGGGGGTCTTTGCTTTGATTATTTTATATGACATGGAGGATAGGAGAGTCTAGATGATGATTACGTCACCGGTAGTTATTTACTTTTTATCATCACATCGAGATAATCCATAATTTTTTTTTATTTATATTAAAAAAAACCAATACAGTAATTGAAAATGTTTACATAAGCATTTGGGGAGGGGGTAAGAGCTTTGCTTACTTTTGCTCAACAGGGGGGATGGGGGGTAAATATTTATAATAAATCTGCTTACGTAATACTTGAACGGCCCCTTACTAACATATATATATATATATTCAGGATTCTAACAAAATCCTTATAAAAATATAGTTTAGTTATACTTCGGATGCGTCCGGGAGTATAAAGGTTCGGTTCGAATAAAAAGTGTGTTCCCTAAATATATATATATATATATATATACATATATAATTTTCTTCACATCATAGATAAATAGTAGACATTGTTATCTATGGTTAATTTTAAATTGTATAACGCATAACAAAACTAGTGCCAAGTAGAGTACTTGTAAAATAGAACATTTTTTTTTTATTTATTTACGGTTCACAAAACAGATTATATATATTTATTTATTTAGGATTATAACTAAAGATACAATTAATTAATAAGTAAACATTATAAATAAGCTGAGTCATAACCCAACGACTATGTGAACACAGATTATAGACTAAATATTTCACTTATAAAATCATAAATACATCAGCGCTTAAAAATACATTGTATACATACATATAAGAAAAGAAATTTACAATAAATAGAAATAATATTTTACACGGGAAAATATAAACAAGTTACAGCAATAAAAATAAAATGAAATTATAAGCTGGTGGAGTGAAGAACTAAATAATGAATATTATAACTAAATAATGGATGGATTATTGGCTGTTAATTGAAACCAATTGTTTTTTAATTGTGATATTGGAATTGACATTGTGAATTAATAGCTTTAAATGTCATTTCTTTATTTACAGACAATCCATTTATGTTTCAATTGATTATGTGATCCAAATCACAATATTATATATATACTAGCTAATAGCTTTCAGCTCGCAGCTTCGCTCGCGTGGAGTTCGGTTATATCACGTCTCGAAGAGAACCTTTCTAAAGTCTAGGATAAAAACTATCCTATGTTCTTTCTCAAGGTCAACTCTATGTCGGTACCAAATTTCATTAAAATCAGTTCAGTGGTTTAGGCGTGAAAGCGTAACAAACAAACAGACAGAGTTACTTTCGCATTTATAATATTAGTAAGGATAGTATAAATGTGTATGTGTGTACACTCACCGACTTTTATCAACAGATTGACCATCTCCGTATGTCCTTGCCAGGCTGACACGTGAAGAGGAGTGCGGCCCTGTTCATTGATACAATTATATTAGTTTAATATCGAATTTATATGTATTTTTAAAATTATTCATGTATATATATAATACACCAAGCTGTGTTAGACAGTCTGTGGAGAGTTTGGACTTGTAATTTTTTGACATAAGGATACTATAGTCCAATAAACATTCTGTGAAAAAGTATTGCAGGGTATTTCTGGACCCCATGCCAATGAAACACACGCAAAACCTCAAAATTTAGGCTGATGCAGGATAGATCATTGTACATATCAATATCTCGGAAAAGGAATGGGTGGGAAAAGGAAAGGGCAATCGTCTCTCTCACTCATCGGACGAAACGCAGCCATTAAAGACTACTTCACGCCGAACGTCTGTGAGAGGGTGGTACTTCCACGGTCGAGACAGACCATGTTCGAGGTTGTAGTAACTTGACCACAACTAGGCTTTACGATCTACGACGATCTACGATCTACGGCTTTACGATCTTTAGGAAGTTCGACCAGCCTGCGTCAAGTGGCACTGATGCAGGCATTGCACATGGTCAACACGTCTGGGGATTATCTCGGCTCTCCCGGGTAATCCCCCATCGGCGCGGTAGCCCGGCACAGTAGCTGGGCAGCCCGGGGGTGAATTGGTGAATTGCAATAGCAGGTCCCAAATCGCCCCCAAATACGGGCAGGAAGGGAAGCCGGGGAGTTTTAGTGGGTATTCCCAGGGCCAACAACATCAGGCTCTGGGCGACCCCCACACAAGTCCCACTGTCGAGCCAGGGCAGTGGGTAGTCTGTAAGCGGATTTCTCCTCGGAAAAAAAAAAAAATGCTTTACGATCTACTTCGATTATGTGGTCAAATCAACGAATTTTTGCTTGAACAGAGACAAACATACATACATCACAAACAATATTTACTAGATTGTTACGTACGCGCTACATATTAAAAAATAAATGAACATCGCCGGGGCGACATTGTTGTATGTATAAAATATATAACGAGTGACTCCGCTGACTCCGCGGAACACCAAGCCGTGTGAACCAGAAGATTCCTGATACACACAAGCTATGGAATGGTATTGCTATCCTAACATCGGGACAATCATGTAGTCTTAGGTGTAGGTCATAAGTTTTAATATTTAGCTCTTATTATAATATATATATATATATATATATATATATATATATATATATATATATATTATAGTTTTCCTGAAATCTCCGGTTGCCTATATAATTATATATTATTATGTCATGTTTATTAACCTCGGTATCACTCGAATGTACACTAGCACCGCACGCCAGCAGCTGCCTGGCCATAGCCAGTCTGTTGTCCAAGGCGAGTACATACAGCGTGCTCCGCCGGTCCGCATCCAGCGCGTCCACGTCCGCCCCGCGGCAGTGCAGCGCGGCTACTGACTCGAAGTGCCCCTCCAACGCCGCGAGGCTGGATGTTTGAAATTAGAATAGAATTTGAATTTGGAACACAATTCCCTTTACTAATTACTTGTGCCCTATACGCACATAGGTATATAAGTAAACAGTTTGTAAGTACCATACATATTCTTTGTCTAAAATGTGTCACGTCTGTCTATCTCATATTCTTTGATATAAATCATGTATAAAAGTCGAATCATTGCATATGTCAATCAGTGTGTCTTATTGTACTCCCTCGGATATAAATCGTGAACTAGTTAGTCTTCTTTATCCTCAACATTTTAAGCCCAGCAATATACTTATAATTCCGTTACTGGGAATTTGAATTTGGAACATCATTTCTTTTACAATTCTTGATAATATCCTCACTGAGAATATGAATACAGAATGTTATATAAAAAAGCGATATAAAAGCTTCATTCAATTTATTTAATATTTCTCATATAGTTTATATTTTTAACACCTACAAAGAGTTGAATTTATGACTATTGACGATGATTTCTACTGATAAATAGATAACAAAAATAAAATGATTAAATTATTAAGAACTAGCTTTCCGACTGCAGCTTCGCCCGCGTGGAGTTCGGTTATATCGCGTTTCCAAAAGAACCTTTCAAAAGTCTTTGATAAAAACTATCCTATGTTCTTTCTCAAGGTCAACTCTGTCAGTACCAATCATTAAAATCAGTTCAGTGGTTTAGTCGTGAAAGCATAACAGACAGACAGACAGAGTTACTTTCGCATTTATAATATTAGTATGTATGTATGTATTACGTACCGTAGCGCAGTTTTCCCGTCATGCGCCCGCTGGTCTACAGGCGCGGCCCAAGTATCCACTAATATTTCCACCAATCTAGTGTGTCCTTCTTGAGCAGCCAGCATAAGGGGGCCCTTACCATCGTTATCCGCTTCATCTACCTTGGCACCCGCTTCTAAAAGCGCTTCACAGACTTCTATGTGACCTGGAATAAAAAATATCATATATATTTAGGGAAAATACATTTAATTTGAACGCAACCTTTATACTGCCGAACGCACCCGAAGTGACAAAGCGATTACGTTTGGTTTGTTCACTTTTACGCGGGAAAGTATTTGTCGACGATACTTGTGTTTTTAAATTGAATGTAACATATTGAAGATGTTTTGGTTTTAGATAATAATAAGTTTGTTCTAGTGAAGGTTTTATTAGTTATTTAAAAGTACTGGCTTTATAAGAAAAATATATGTTAGAATTCTTAAATATATATATCGGCGCTATCAGTTTTAATGACGGATGCGACATGAAAATGACGAGGCTGTCATCAATTATTATAAAACTTATTAGTATTCATGATAACTGCTAAAAGTAAAACGAAATCAGAGATTGTTTAAAAGAGAATAGAACTATGTTTGAATGTTGGTATAAATATGACGTCTGGACGCACGACGGCAGAGTTCAGTGAGTGCGGACCATAGAATAATGTGATTATGAAGAACCTTCGAGAAATATAAGAACATTAAGAACAATTGAAGTTTCATTTTAAAATATCACGGAACGTTCTAGAAGAAGTGACATTAGTGACGTCAGCGAGGGTGGCGTCACTCTTTAAAAACAACGAATTTGTAATAAATCCGATATATAGACGATACCTCTTAGCCTAAACCTATCTATTTATATATAATTAATCTTTATATAAGTTGTTAATCGTAAATAAATCAATTTATTATTGAAGATAAGAACGATATTAAAATTAATATTCAAATTAGTATTCGACTAGAATGTAAGTTCTATTTAGAATAAGTCAATTTTCTATCTCCCTATCTCTGTCCATATCAGTCCATCTCTCTCTTCTTCTTCTTCCTGGCAATTTCCCAGCTTTAGCCAGGGTCTGCCATCTTGATATATCTCTACGTACCTTCAAACGCGGCGTAGTGTAGCGGCGTCCATCCTGAGTTATCTCTATGATGTTCGTCTAGTCCACGGTCTAACAGTTGACGAACAACCTCCACGTTACCTGAAACAAATGATTCATTATGTATTAGTATTAAAAATTAAAATATTACTAACTATTATTCGATAATTTAATGTTTTATATATATGAATTAACTTTTTCAGAGACTATGAATTTATTATTTTATATCAATATAATTCCGACGTTTCGATTACTTTACAGCAACCGTCATCATATAAGACGAGATGAATGTCTGTGAGTTAGTCCTGTTATTTATTACTTGCCGCCAACGATTTAACGACTTTAATGATTTTATTTAACTACATTACGTCGTCCAACAATATTCCTCATATACATATATACAGAGTATATAATCATGTACAATATTATATAGCCTATGGTATATATAATTGTCATCAGCCTATCAGAGCTCACAGCTGAGCAAAGGCTTCGTTTCACATGGTTTGTAAATTAATCACCACGCTCGCTCAAGACGGGTTGGTGATTTCAAACTTATAATTTGATATAAGTCCATGTTTCCTCACGATGTTTTCCTTCATCAGTCAGTAGTGTCTAAATACTCTTAAGTACATATGACTAGGAACAATCACATTGGTACTTGCCAGGTTTCGAACCCGCGCCCCTACGCACGAGAGGTGGGCATTTAACCACTATATAACCTCTAGGCCCCCACGACATGTACACGACAGAGTATATTATCATGTAAAATTCCGATATAGTGTGTGGTATATACTCTTGTATAATCTATGTTCTATATATTCTGTGTGTGTTACCCTGTGCGGCGGCTGTGCTGAGCACAGTCCGTCCCTCGTCATCCATGGTGTCGACACAGGCGCCCCAGAACAACAGCAGCCTCACAGTGTCCGCGTGCCCTGCAGACGCGGCCGCCCACAACGCTGTGCGCCCCGCCACGTCTGAAGACTCTATATCCGCTTCCGCCTCGAGGAGTAGTTCGCAAATTTCACTGTAATATAGATATAAATAATTAGCAATTTTATTAACAATATGTTCATGTATGTATGTTTGTTGGATATATTTGTGGTTAAAGAACTTTATTTCTCCTAAAGAACATACAGTGAATGAATTCAATTTGAATTCAATTGAATGAGATGTATTACATAGTTCAATTCGAAAAAACATTCAGTACAGTAGCAACGACCCATACAACTCAAGAGCGATTAATCCAACTGCTACCTACAACAACCCAATAGTTTCCTTCTAAACATCGCAAACGTTTTTTCATCAAAAACTTTGTCAAGCAAGCCATATTTGTATATACAAGATATTTTATTTATAGCTACACACATGAAACAATCCAATTTCTTTTGTCCTTCAAGTAGCCTATTGTTATGGAGTACATATATGAGACCAATATTTAAATAATATAATGTAAAATAATATTTAGATGTAGCTTTATTATAGTTATGAAAAGAACCAAAAATATGTATATACGACATTTTTTGCTCTTTTCAAATGATTATTATTGTATTAAAACGTATTTTATACTCTGTATGGGTTTGATACCACACACTATTTAGATTTGATAGTTTATGGAGACCAGCTAGTTTGTGAGTATCGCGTTTAGGTAATGAGAACGACCTGTTTATTTGAACGCTTTACTGATACTGACTCAATTATAACAATGCTTACATTTATATTTGCTCATGAATGTGTACATACAATGAAATTATGTTAATGTATGGGTGAACCCATACATACTCCTTGATGTTAATGTTCTCGTTAGAGTTTTTGTAATATGAGCTGTATATTTCCCCCTATATATACGAGGATTTTTCTCAGTAACTACTGAACCGATTCTGATGACACTTTCACAGTCTGATAGCTCATATAGTAGATACTAACGTGTGCCCTTCAAACGCGGCCACCAGTAGCGGCGTGGCTCGCTCTCTGTCCGCGCGGCTAGGGTCCGCTCCTCGCTCCAGTAATAATGCAGCGCATGAAGCACCCGCGCGACATAAAGCAGCCACTGATAATGCTGTTCGACCTGGAATATAATTAATAATATATTAAAAATAGTCATATTTATGGAATAATTCACGTTTTTTAATTAGGGTGAATCCATAAAGTCACATAATTTTAAGGATTTTTGTGCCCCACAAATATGACATTCAATGATACATACACACACGCATTAAATGTGTTTCAAACACTTGGTAGTGTGTGATATGTATTATATGATGAAGCTCAGTCTATTTATCATTATAGAGCATATACGAGCTAGGCTCGACATTTTCGACCCCCAAATTTGTTTTAGCTGACAGCAAATTGTCATAGACTTCGGGTCGATGTAGACCACTTTGGGAATCACTGGTGTAGTGTATAAATGTATTTTAAAAGCACACAACTGTAATTCACCAAATACCATCAATTGTTCTTGCCCTACTGTAGAGTATGCTTCCAATATAAAATATCTTGGAGTACTAATAGATAATACTTTGTCTTGGAAGTAACACATAACTAATTTAACTACTAAAATAAGAAAACGAGTATATATACAGGGTGACTGGTGAATTACTATCAATATTTAAGGAGAATACTCGGTACATGATTCTCATTCGAATTATGTAAAAAAAATAGGCACTTAATTTTTGACAAAATTTCCGTATAAATAAGTAAAGTGTTGACACGTTCCAAGTGTTCAAGTGTGGACGCGTGCGGCGGCGTGCTGATACAACACTACGTCACGACACGCGTATGTGTGAGTGTCAGTGTATACCTAATCTGTAGGGTGTTCACACGATGCGTAATTAATTACATAACTTTTGGTTAACTTTACTTAGAAGTTTATTAATATTTATGTTATATTAATTTTTATTTTGTTATATATGATCGTCAAATATCACGTCCTCAAATATCGATAGTAATTCACCAGTCACCCTGTATAATACTTTTATGCAATGTGATCTGATTATGTTAATGTATATACAATTGTAATGTGTTTGGGATAAATAAACATTATTATTATTATATTATATTCACCATCATGATCCGCATGATCGGTCCCTGCGCCTGCGTCTAGTAGAAGACGCACGATATCCGCGTGTCCCATATAGGAAGCTGCCATAAGCGGAGTTCGGCCTTCCGCATCCGCTCGCTCGGGCTCCGCCCCGCCGAGTAAGAGGCGCGCCACCACCGCTTCATGGCCCGACCACGCAGCAGCCCTGGGAAATGAGATGAGACCTCTCATCATTCAATGTATTCATATGCGTGTGTCGTGTCCATCGATGTAGTGAGAGGAGCTTCAACAGTGACTGGGACTTGTGACCCAGGTGTAGGTTTAATATATATAGAGAGACGAAACCTCTCATCATTCAATGTATTCACGGTGCGTGTGTCGGGTCCATCGTTGTAGTGAGAGGAGCTTCAACAGTGACTGGGACTTGTGACCCAGGTGTAGGTTTAATATATATAGAGAGACGAAACCTCTCATCATTCAATGTATTCACGGTGCGTGTGTCGGGTCCATCGTTGTAGTGAGAGGAGCTTCAACAGTGATTGTGACTAGTGACCCAGGTGTAGGTTTAAGGGACTCCTAACTCTATGATTTATATATATATATTAACTGACCGTATTGACAAGTAAGTGGCGATGTTACTTATTATTAACGATTTAAATTAAATTGTGGACCAAAATATTTAAAAAATACTCACAAATTATAAATATTGGTACAATGTGGTATTTTTGTATTTAGGAATAGATATATTATAAATAAACAAATATATATTGCAACTCTGAACAGGAATAAGACTATGTAGTCGCCTTAATGAGACTGATCTTAGTAGAATTGTGAAAATGAGTTTCTAATAACGATATGATAGTTATTGTCTATTGAAGACTAAAACGTGGCTTTTGAGAGAGAACATGATAATATTGTTTTATATCATTTATAAAATATACATTTATACTACATAATTAATAAGAAGATATCAAATATTGCAGTGTTTTTATACAATGTCATACTATATAGTGTGATAGATATATTTTCTAGTATATTTACCTCAAGGCCGTTCTGTTGTCAGCGTCAACACAGTCCACATCACAACCGTGTTCTAATAGCACGTCCACCACCTGAACATAATAAATTATATATGTATATATATAAAGCACTGATTTTTCTTGCTGTTTCATAAATGTATGGAACGAATTTGATGAAACTTTGGAGTGATGTAGTTTAGACATCGGAAAGACCGACATAAAAATAATATTTTGTAAGAACATACTCACAGGCGATAGAATGCGCTGACATTTAATTACCATTATCATATCATATTAAAACTCTTGCAAATAACAATATTAACATAGTTTTATAAATTTTTAATTATTACTAACTTTATTTAATTTGATTTGATTTTTTATTATTTAAATAAATAAAAAGCATGAACTCAATTCCAAAGTTCTAACAGAGGAAGCCGCGGGCATTACTTGTATCATAAAATCATATCATCTAGTACACTGTGAATATATAAAATTAATGACCATCTCGGAATATATAATATATTGGTTTCAAACACAATCAAACATAAACAAATACCTCAACATGTCCAGCCCAGGCCGCAGCCCTAAGCGGGCTCCATCCATCGCCGTCAGCTACCGAGGGCGAAGCACCCGCCTTCAACAGTAGGGCTGCGGTGCCGGCTCTTCCCGCGCGGGCCGCCGCGTGTAGTGCTGTGCCTCCCGCCGCGTCAACAGACTGAGCTAGCTCAGGGCGACGCTGTACATATGATACAACGAAAAGAGATAAATTTAGTATACAGTCTGAACTCTAATATTAACTGTACTGTTTCGTACAAGTAATATAACAAAAAAAACAGCTATATTTTTAAAACTAGGACCTAAAGAATCCATAGCACAACCAGGAATAGAATCTTCTACTAAATCAAATAGGCCAGTCTGATAACTGAGCTATAGCGCATATTAGAAGAGGTCCTTCAACAAGATTGTGCCAACATATTATTTATTATTATACTACCTGACCCGGAAAACTTCGTACCGCAATATAATCAAGAAATATCTGTTACCTTTTTATCTCAATGAAGTTAATTTCTTTATTAAGTATAACTGACTCGACAGACAATGTTCTATCTTCGTAACTGTGATTATTGAATTCTAATTGGTATATTAATAAATCAAAATTATTCCAAAAAAGTGTTTATTATTCTAATGCTTTATGATACACTATATTCTTAGTTTTGTTTTTCACTTCGAAACAAACTGATATACATACTAGATTAATAAATTATTATATATTTCTGTCCCCAATCGCCATCTAAACTTAGCACTGTAATCACTCAGTAATGGAATTACAATAATATTATTACAATACATATATACTAAATTGCCTTTAGTCCAACAACACAATCAGGCAAAAGATCTTATATATTACTAGCTGCGCCCCGCGGTGTTACCCTTGAATTTCCGGGATGTAAAGTATCCTATATATTATTCCTGAACGTCAGCTTCCTTTATACAAAATTATATCAAAACCGCTTCAGCCATTTGAGCGTGAAGAAGTAACAAACATATACACAAACTTTCGCAATTATAATATTGTAATACATATATATATGATGATAATTCCCAGGCGAGGATGCTGATGATGAGCCGGATCTATCAGAGAACCCTTACGCCTGCACAGCCAATGAGGAGCTGTTCTTGGACGACCCGAAGAAAACATTACGAGGATACTTTGAGAGGGAAGGTTTGGAATTGGTGTATGATTGTGATATATTAGTAGGATAGTACCTTCAGTAGAACAGCTAAAGTCTCCTCATCTCCTCTAGCCGCTAGTTCGTGAACAGTCCCCGGATCTAATTGTAATCCTTCGTCATGTTCATCACCTGTTTCTTCACTTTCCAAAGCTTTTTCCGTGGACAGCTGGAAATAAACCAATATTAATTTCCAGAAGATTAGTTCTGGAGTCACAACAAAATTATTATTATTATTAGGTCTATTTTAAGCAGTATGAAAAGTAATGTCAGATTATTTTGATACCTCTATTTTCTGATAAGACTTTTTAGCAATATCATATTATTATAGAAAATTTTATATTTATTTATTCTTAAAACGTACTTCGAGGGCAGACCAAGTAGGATCTTTTCCAATTAAGTTCGGTAAAGAAAGAAGCTTAGACAGTGAAGGTGAGCGTTTAACGCGTTAGATAGGGTCCCTTAAACCTACACCTGGGTCGCAAGTCACAGTCACTGTTGAAGCTCCTCTCACTACAACGATGGACCCGACACTCGCACACATGAAATGATGAGAGGTATCGTCTCTATCTTATTAGTGAATATGAGTTAGTTTTCAAATGTAATGTCAAAAAAAACGTTTGTATCAACAACTACTAATAAATTAGAAATTAATTAGAAAAACATCGTCCAGCGGACAAAATTGTGAATCTAAACCATTCCCAGATCTCCTTGAACAGACACAAAAAATTTCATCAAAATAGGTCCGGTTGTTTGAGAGAAGTTCAGTGACATACAAACTTACAGAAGAATTATATATATAAAGATATACTTACCAGATCATTAACATCTTCCTCCGGCTCAGTAGGAGCTGAATCAGTTCTACTAAGCTCGATGAGAGCTCTCATCACCCTTCTATCCCTCGGCCACCTAGTCGTTGTACCGTTCACTAACTCGGGCATAATGTTCTCCAAAGCTGATTGTTCCACTGAAATATAAAACATAGTATATTAAAATAATATATATGTTTATACAGTAATTTATGGTTAAAGATATTTATTCCATGATAACTTTTAACTGAAACAACACATAGCGAAAAAAAAATGTAATTATCTTTACTTTAAAACTTGAAATGGTGTATGTTTTGTAAGTTGTCCTTATATAAATAAAAAATAAATAAATTCTCATAACAACATAGGTTCACCTACATGAGATTAAATAATGTTACACACATATATTAATATGTACTACTTAATATTGTCTAATATATATATAATTTCAATTAATTAACATGAAATTGTTTTGATTAAAAAATATATAGTAATATATAATTATTAAATGAAAGAAGATGTAGTTATTCTGATTAAAGTCACTATATATGTGTGTGTGTGTGTGAGAAATTGTAAAGTGAATGTATAAAAAAAGTATCACATACTATACATAAAGTAATGTTTGTGTAATATTTTCATCACTGTCAACTTATTTAAACTCAAATCACACATTTTTCTACGAGACTTCATCACATACTAATCATTAATGTTAAATTATTTTGTATACATATGTCTGTGATAAATATAGAAATAGAATAATATAATATTATAAACCAGAATACATACTCTATAGAGTTCAATTTAGAATTACATGTGATATCATATTATAAGAACTAATTAGGTTTTATTCCTTATATATATTTAAGGAAAATAGTACATATATATCAATGTATCCTTAATATATCTCATATATGTGTGTTTGTCTCATACTTTTAAAGCTGTATCTACGAAATTGAATGAAGTTTCTTATACATATACTCATTATTTATTAAGTTTATATTGAAAGTCTTCCTAGACAGGAAAAAAGGACATTCATATGTGTGTGTATAAAAAAATTAAGTTACTGTAAATAGCATACGGAAAAATATTAAATAACAAGCAAAACCGCGGCTAGGCTATAGTGTATGATGCTAAGACTTTGTCCCCGAGGTTTGTAATATAAGGAAGTCCTTTTATTAATTATGGTTTAAAATGTTCTGTTTTATATATAGATTGTATTTATAATTTATACATAGATGTGTGTGTGCGTCTGTCTGTTTGTCTATCAATAATAAAATAGTTAATTAATTATAATTTTGGAATATCCTGTATGCTGGAGTACTTCAAAACCTCAACATTTAACAAATCTACACCAACTTTGATGACATTCATGTAAATTACCCCGTGAATATTAATTCTAACATTACAGTACATATTAAAGCCTTCTTAAAATAAAATTATATTTAATACTTAAAGAATTTCTCATATAGATAAAATAGTTCCCGAGATTAAATGAAACTAATATTTTTTTCACACATGTCGTCTTAATGATCACCGTTGCTTTAAAGATACCGAAACGTCGGTAGTTTTTATCAAAAATAAATTAAGTATATCGGCAAAATATTTTTTTCAGCTTATCAGAGCCCACTGCGAAGCAAAGGCCTCTTCTCTCATGGAGAAGGTTTGAGCATTAATCACCACGCTTACTCAAGACGGGTTGGTGATTTCAAACTTATAATTGTGAAATTATAAGTCCAGGTTTCCTCACGATGTTTTCCATCATCTATCAGTGATATCTAAATACTCTTATAAACTACATATGACTCAGAACAATCACATTGGTACTTGCCAGGATCGAACCCGAAAAACATTAGCTTCATTTACATAGTTCCTGAGATTAGTGTGTACAAACAAATAAACAAACAGATACATTATATTAGTTTCCTATAAGCTCAGTTTATGTATAAGTTCTAACATCTCAATAGTAGTAGGTTCGAGTCTTATTCATGTCAATTATTCCTTACATGATTTACATGATATAGATTCTTTTCCTTCGGACTCCGGATCTTGATCCTTATCTTCAATTTTCTCCTCCATCTGAAAAAATATGAATTTTATATTAAATTTATTATAAGAGTAATAAAATTTATAATAATTTAGTAGTAGGAAAAATTGAGTAAACTTATTTCTGAGTATCACTTGTATATTATTCTGTGTATAGTCGGTTTATTATTTCAATTTTTATTTAATTATAATAATATTGATTTAACAGAATTATAAATAAATAACAATAGACCCTATGAAGTATATGTGTTTACATTTTTGAATATTAAGTAACAGTAACATGTTATTTTTGAACTGAAACTTCTTGCGCGACTTTCAACAAGGTTGCGTTAAACGTCTAACGCTGGGGGGGATAAAATTAGACAGAACGAGAGGGAATGCGTGTAACTCAAACGCATATGAATTTGTATGAAATTTTAATAAAGTTTATCTTAAAGAAACACTGAAAATTCCTTAGAAAATCAATTTCCACCCCTTCCTTTTTTTAATTTTGACTTTTATTAGCTCTAATGGCTTTGACAGGTTCACCGAAAGGTATGAGTGGCCCAATGGGACTTACTCATTAATTTATTGCCTGAAGGGCCCCAGACCTTTCTGTATTCGTTCCAATATTATTAAGTTTCATTTCTTTGGCGCGCTCAATCATTTATATATACATATATGTATGTATGTCTCTGTGTAAGTATATATGTGTGTGTGTGTCTTTGTGTCCGTGTATTTGTGTATGAATGTGTGTATGTATGTATGTATGTATATATGTGTGTATACCTGTCCCCTGTCATGCTGCAACGCCGCCTCCACCTTACAGCCCGAGTCCAGCACCCAGAGAAGCACCAACGTGTGAAGCTCCACCGGCTCACAACTACACATAACATAGAGTTACAAACTTATTAGAAGTGGCAGATTTATAATAGAGTTAATATATCTCAGAGAAGACACAATATAAATGTTTATTTTACATTTTTATCTATAATTATATAGCTGATGTAATATAGAGTAACTTTAACTACTTTTAATCATGATACCGACATCAAACGTTACCACGCGCGTGTTTTAGGAGCGATTCAAACATCGCTTATAAGTTTCTTCAAGGTTTTATTTGCGCAGACGGAGTCGCGGATTACAGCTAGTATATTTATAATTATAATAATATTAACATACCCTGTAAGAGTCTTGGTCAAAATTCATAATACATATATAAGTATCGAGTAATAAATCATAGCCTATGTTTAAATCTAAAATATAAATTATTTATTCTAGTGAGTTCAATTAAAATCTATTCAATAGCTTTTGCATAAAATATTATCAAATTAGTTTAGTATATGTTATATCTTTATTTATTTATACGGGGTGACTGGTGAATTACTATCAATATTTAAGGAGAATACTCGGTACATGATTCTCATCCGAATTATGTAAAAAAAATAGGCACTTAATTTTTGACAAAATTTCCGTATAAATAAATGAAGTGTTGACACGTTCCAAGTGTTCCAAGTGTGGAAGCGTGCGGCGGCGTGTTGATACAACACTACGCCGCCGCATGCATATGTACACACATACGCATGCGGCGGTGAGTGTATACCTAATCTGTAGGGTGTTCACACGATGCGTAATTAATTACATAACTTTTGGTTAACTTTACTTAGAAGTTGATTAATATTTATGTTATATTAATTTTTATTTCGTCATATATGATCGTCAAATATCACGTCCTCAAGTATCGATAGTAATTCACCAGTCACCCTGTATAGTCCATCTCACCCGAGCTTTCCCTTCTTGAGCGAGGCCAGGTGTTGTTCCAGCTGAGTCATGTGGTACACGTAGTGATGTATCTCCAAGGCTGACAATCTGAAGGTAACACGAAATATATGAACGTGGGAACATTACAACTTCGTATGGACAACATAACACATTATACATGAACATAGGCACATTATAACATACTTCCAACTAAATATATCAGACGAATGATTGTTATTTACACAAGATACGAAACCTCTTAGCATTCAATGGATTCACCGTGCGGGTTGCGGGTCGATCCATATATTATAAAAACTTAGGTAATACTAATTAAATATGTAAATTTCATTTTCTATACATCTTCTTATATATTATAATGAGGGTAGGGTTCAATAACCACGTGTAGATATATGTTATTTAAATTTTTCTCTATAACCTTTAATTTATAATATTTATGAACTTTCTCGGTTTTCAAATAATAGTCGATGGATTACTTCGATATGATTGGATTAAATATTCACATTTTAATATCGACCGTTCAGTTTCACATGTGGCTAACTACCCACACGTCTAATATCAAGTATCACACTGATATTTGACGTTACAAAATATATTTTGATTGATAATCTATGGAATCGATTTACACGATAAATGGAATGGTTTAGATTCACAATTTTGTCCGCTGGACAATGTTTTTTTAATTATTTTTTAATTTATTAGTAGTTGTTGATACAAACTTTTTTTTTGACATTAGATTTGACAACTAACTTATATGTCGATCATTCTGTCGCACTTCGAAACACGGAGATTTATGGCTTTAATAGGTGAACTCCAAAAATATAAATAAAAAACGTAACAGATATTTCTTCATTATAGGGCGATACGAAGTTCGGCGGGTCTTCTAGTATATATATGTATATTATACCTTCTAGCCTCCAATGTATAATGCATGGCGAGCGCAGCGTGTCCCGCTGCCACGTCGCACAAGTAGCGGCGCGTGCAATGCTTCACGTCTACCAGCCACGAAGAGAACGAACGGTGGAAAATTGACACGAAACCCGTGGAGCGATCTACCGACACTATCCTGGAATAGAGAGATGATAAGACTATATAGATGATGATGATGATGATCACATATTAAATTTTACAAATACTAGATGTTTGGTTTTATTAGTATCAATCATTGTAAGTCATATGTAAATGGGAAGGTATCACTGAAGTGTGATAATGAGCGTAGGGAGGAGTTGAAAAGTCCTAAAATTCGTGTGTCGTATGTTATGGATGGCCCCTTATATATATACATAAGTTTTGACTTTACCATACACTATGTTTAAGTCAAAAACATAAATTATATGTTCAGATTAGTTTCATTAAAGTATGGTCGATAATTTTTACATAAAATACTAACAAATCCAAACATCTAGAAAAACAAACACTCAGTCATAAAATTGCTTTAGTATATGTTATATATTTTACTTGACACAATTTTTTTCATGACTGTACATAATATAAAAATCATGTTTGTACAGTCAACGACTAAAGTTATTGTATCAAAATAGTAATGAAAAAAATATTTTTTGTTTATGAAGTAAACCCATAACACTCTTTTCACTAGCACAGTCGGTTAATCATTACCTTCTCAACAAATGCATCCTTCTATTAAAGTCTTCCCTAGTGACGCTGTATTCCTTGGTAAGCAGACACTTGTACAACATGTCCTCAGTTACACCACAACGAGCGGCTAGCAGCACGTCTAATACTAGCCGGACCTTGTTATTGAGGACGAGAAATGATGATAAATTCAATCTCATATATATGTATATATAATATATATTGTCGTGTATAGTGCAAATCCGCGTAACTAGTAATAATTTCACGTATCTACATTGGAAGCAGATTATCAGAAGAAAGTTTGAGATTATATATTTTATATATTAACGACTTTTAAGGTAATTATTTGATAATTAGTAATAAATTAAACATAAATTAATTTGCACTATCCCCGATGTGATGTAATACATTAAAGTATGATTAATTAATTAAAGTGACCTGAAAGGAGATATAAATATATTAGGATGTAGAAGTTATTTTCGATTTTCTATAATAATATAAACATTGCCTTAATTACAATCATAAATAATTAGTTAATCTCATAGATATAATCTTTACATTTTTAGCGGAAATGTCAAAAATGAACGAATAATGATAAGTATGAAATGATATACTCAAAAGTGTACTTGTCACACACCTTATTAAACCTCCGTCCGTGGAACAGTCTCTGCGCGAGCCACAAGTACAGTCCGTTGAGTGTACCTGGGATCTCTCTTATTTCACGCAGCGCTATGAAACCATCGGCTACTCCGTCCAGCACCTATTTAACATATTATATATACTAGCTTTCCGCCCGCAGCTTCACCCGCGTGGAGTTCGGTTATATCGCGTTTCCAAGAGAACCTTTCAAAAGTCTGGGATAAAAACTATCCTATGTTCTTTCTCAAGGTCAACTCTATGTCTGTACCAAATTTCCTTAAAATCAGTTCAGTGGTTTAGGCGTGAAAGCGTAACAGACAGACAGACAGAGTTACTTTCGCATTTATAATATTATAGTAGGGATAAACACAATATAATATTATCATTCTGTAAAAATATGTATTAATAATATAGATATTCTAAAAGTGAACAATTTGAACTGAATTCTTACGAGTTTTCGTTTAAAAAATCAACACAGTTTGTAGTCTTTCACTCATAAAACTTAAAATTAGTATCACATATTAACTAAGAGAAAATTAACTTAAATCAATTACATATTTAGTGTAAAATAATTCCTCTCTATTATCTTCTTCTTCTACCTGGCAATTTCCCAGCTTTAGCCAGGGTCTGCCTTACATGTTGTGAATAGTTTTGGCTAATTGTTTTTACAATCCACCTGCCTGACATCAACCCTTTTTGGGAATGCATTAATCAGTGATGTCTTAATACTCTTAAAGTACATATGACTCGGAAAATCACATTGGTATTAACCAGGATCGAACCCGCGCCTTCATGCATGAGAGCCGGGCCTTTTAACTATTAGGCCACCACTGAATTAATCTATTATATATGGCATATAAAAATAAACAAATGAAAGTTTAAATCGAACTCGGTACTCATTACCGCCCCTGTCTATACTGAGTTATATGCTCTAATATATTAAGTGTATTGTATTACCTTCTCTAAGTACAGTAAGCAACCGTCACTCTTAATCCTAAGATGATCCAAAGCAGCCGCCGCGGATGCTGCAGCAGCCGCGTCGCTCGACACTCGAGCCCTGAAGACAAATGGAACATAAACGCGCGTTTTGGTCGGGCTTTTTTTTGGTAACGCTGCGTTTTTTTGTGGTAACGCTAGTAACAATATACATATTAAAAGTATACATAGTTTTACACGCGATAGGTTTATACTTTTTTTATATATATTAATATATATTGTTATATTTCGGGTATTAGTCGAGTTTATAAGATCAAAAATTTGGCGGTTTTGTAGATATTAGTATACACAAAATTTATTACAGAAAACAGATTTTACTTTATATATGTTATTTTAAATAACCCCATAATTTCTAAAATAGAACCCAAAACATAAATTTTACGTATGCCCCTAGGTTTCAGACTTGTCTATGACACATACCTACATATATTAACCAAATCGATTTCATACTGATATATTTGAGTAGAGTATCATCAAAATCAGTTTACACATTACCTGAGTCGCGGCTCGTTGTCGAGTCGAGCCAACACATACCGCTGAACATCCGCGGCCACGTGAGCTCGACATAGCTCATCAAGAGTTATCTTACGGAAACCTTGAACAAAATACATATAAATATACTCTGATCAAAACAGACCAGACCCTGGCTAAAACGAAGTCATATAATGTAAGTAGTATATAATGAGATCTAAGGATCGCGAGTATTCATTTAAATGAAACTAATAGTTTCGTATACTACACTTTTATTATTTTAAACTACATACTTAATCCCGATTTTTTAGGATTCATTTACATCTCGTCGTGGTGATCCCGATTGCTGAAAAGTAGCTGATACGAAACTAAAGCACGCGTAGTAATATCCTAAAAATATTAGTTTTATTTAATTGGTTGTGAATCACTTCTTGAAGGATTGATTAAAAACCGACCTAGCAGCCCTTCTTTATAGGACAATCCGATTTCTAGAACATTCAATAACATTCTCGTTCATATATCTACTTGTTAACATTAACAACAGGAATATTCCAGTAAACGTATACCTAATAGTTCGGCCACTCGTCAAGAGATGGCGCTGCTACTATTAAATTCGATTCGCTTGTCAAGCCGATCTTTAAGTTGGCTGACAATATTAATGAAAACCGTAAAAAAGCAATAAACGAATAAATAACATTCATATGAATTAATCAATAAACGAATAAATAAACAAAGTTCATACAACATCTTTTGGTATTGTTGCAGTGCACCACATTTTCTATTTTTTCCTTTTTCTTATTATAATATTTATTGTGTAATTTTATTTATTGTATTTTTTTTTAAATGTTTCGTTTGTGAATAAGATTGTTATTGTGTTGTAGTGCGACTTTGACCAATAAATATTTTATTATTATCTAAATAATCTGGTGTTAATACGTACCAGTGAAGACTCTGGCGAGGCGGGCGTGTCTCCGTGCGGTGGCTACTAGCAGCAACCAATGAGGCAGTAGGTGTTGGTGACGACCCACCACGCCGGCTACACTACCCTCACTACCCTCGCCATCTAAACGAACAGACAGACATACATATATATATGTATAGTCGTGGATAGTGCAAATCCTCGTAACTAGCATTGGATAATTCCACATATCTATTAACTACTTTTAAGGTAATTTAAACTTTCTACTTTATATTAACTACTTTTAAGGTAATTTAAACTTTCTTCTGATAATAATTTGCTTCCAGTGTAAATAAGCGGAAAAATCAGTTGCTAATTACGAGGATTTACACTATCCCCGACCATATACTATATTTAAAAGAAAGTCGTATTAGTTACTCTATATATAACTCAAGAACGACTGTACGGATATGGATGAAAATTGGTGGAGAGATAGATTAGCACAAGGAGACGGACATGGGATATTTAATTCTGTTCGATCAAAAAGAAAACTTAATAAAATATCTGGTTATTTTGCATCTCCCGGACCTAATAGTTCGCCCGGTCAGCTATACATGTATTACTAATTCCTAAATAAATGCGAACAAAGTCGCGAGCAAAACTAGTATATATAATTACCATTAGTGGCGCCCTCATCTATAGCGTCTATAAGCAAGAATAAGCATTGCTTAGGCGGGTCTATTTCCAGTAATGGAAATAATATAGCCTTCTTGAAGCATTCATCGGGGTTTTTATCCAGGTTCTGAGGTAATAAAGCCTGCTGGATTTCCGTTTCCGATAGTAACTTCTCGTAATAGGCATTGGCTATTAAAGTTCTCGGATTGACCGGAAGGCTTGGTATTGGAGGCGGTTCTTCTTCAGAAACTGATCTCTTCTTCTCCAAAAGTAATTCCATTTCCGTTTGCGGATCGTCTTTAACGTCGTGAACTATGTTCTGATATTCGGGAAGTTCTTTTGGATCCTTTTTCGGCGAGCCATCAGAACGTAAGCCACTTTTATTGGGATACCGAAAGTTGGCGACCGGAATTCTTGATTTTGGCGGGCTGTTCATCTCTTTTTTCTCTTCCTGGTCGTTTGACAGGCTCTTCTGGAGTACAGAAGGTTTCTTTTCTTGTAGCGGTTCGGAGCTCTGCCGTAGAAGTCTTGAATTTCGCATTTCTTTGGATTGTCGTTGAGATATATTGCGGAGGAACAGGTTCTCGTGGTTTTCGTACAGACGCAGATCATTCTGGTCGCTGATGAACGGATTCGTTGGCTTTACATCCGCCTTCGGCAGTATTTCCGGTAGCTGTAATCACAAACAAATTACATGACGTCATTCCATCCACTTCACAAGAGATGTCGCTACTAGGATATTTGTTATACTACTACACATTCGAAATGAAAATTATTCAAATAATGAGAAGGATTACGCGAGTATTAATTTAAATGAAACTAAAATGTTTCGGACTATACTGTGCGTATTTTATTATCATAAAAACTAATTGGATTTTTTTCATCATTTATTACATTAACAAAGGGAGAGCAGCTTGTACGGTGGAGGTGATCGTATAACGCGTTAGATAGGTTCCCTTAAACCTACACCTGGGTCACAAGTCCCAGTCACTGTTGAAGCTCCTCTCACTACAACGAAGGACCCGACACACGCACCGTTAATATATAGAATGATGAGAGGTATCGTTTTATGTCAGAGTAATTTGATTGCTATAATTATATATACAAGCTTCATTTTCAGTTTTATATAACATACTCTCTCTCTCTCTCTTTCTATATTTCCCTCTCTCTCACTCACCGCGTGTCCACTCAGCTCCGCGTCGTTAATACAATCCGTGTAATCTTCTCTCTCATGTATTCTGTCAGCTGTTTTCTGTCGAGAACTCATCTCCTCTTCGTCTGTTCGTTGATCTGAAACAAATTAATTAGTAATTAAATTGTGATTTTCGTATGATTAGAAAAAAAACAAACATTTGAAGGTCAATGTTATTCTCAAACATGTCGCATGTAGAGTTTTATTTCAATATAATATCCCTACTAATATTATAAATGCGAAAGTAAATCTGTCTGTCTGTCTGTTACTCTTTCACGCCTAAACCGCTGAACTGATTTTAATGAAATTTGGTACAGAGATAGAGTTGACTTTGAGAAAGAACATAGGACAGTTTTTATCCTAGACTTTTGAAAGGTGATGACAGTTTTTATCCTAGACTTTTTCCACGCGGGCGAAGTTAGAAAGCTAGTATATAATAAGAATATCATGATGACAGTTTTATGGAATGAATATTGAGATTGAAAATATTTTTTTTTGAACAAATATGTTATTAATTATGCTACACTCTTCTACTCCTACTTGAAGCAGCGGCTAGTATTACATATATATGTATATATTTTCAATATGTTTCATATTTATCATATTTTTGTCAGTACCTTCACTATCAGCCAGCAGAGGCTTGGAGCTCTCCTCACCATCTTCACAAATGTCACGGAACTTCTGAACAAAATTCTCTTCCAAAGAATTTCTGTGAAAATAATAGAAAATAGATGGAATAATAGAAAAGTTGGAGTTATTGTATATCTATGGGTCCAATGTAGTAATTTAGCTACTTCATATTATTATAGGCCAGTGCAGAAAGCCTTTAAAATTAATGAAAAGTGAAAATAAATTATAGTAGAATACAACTCATTAGAAAAGCAGAAGAATATTATAAAAATTAAAGGAAAAATAATTTACGGAACTGCGAACGGGCGAACTGAGGTCGGGAAGGTATGGGGATGAGTAAAAATAGGGTAAAAAATGGGTTTTCTCGATTTCCGGCAAAACTAAAAGTCCTACGGAAAAATGTTATATGGCAAAGTTGTTGGTAATAAAAATTCAAAAAACATATTTTTTGTTTTTTATTTTTATCTCTTCCTAAGAACAATTTATTGCCACGAAATTTGGTATTTATTCAAAATAAGCTGAATCTTATTCTAATCAAATAAATTACAGTGCATTTGTAACATCAAAAGGAAAGTTATCACCGAATTTTGTGACAAAAAATTGTTTTTATATACATATGTATATTGCATATGTCTGTGTATGTGTATGTATGTCTGTGTGTGTATTACCTATCAGATCTCTCATCCGGCCTCGCATGTTCAGAGTGTGATAGGATCTGCATCGCCAGTGAACGGACGAACTCACCAGGCCGCTGGCTGCAGTCACCCGGACCCTGAACAACATGAACAATGATAGTCAGCTACAGACTGAAACATAGTCTAGACTGGACTAAGTCTAGACTCAGTTGAGCTTGACATAATATACATAAGATGTTATCAACAAAAATATAGTCAATTATTTTAATGAATTTCTTTGAATACACAATTAGGTAACTTCTCAATTAATATGTCATATAGCTCCCAAAACTTCTCAGAACAAGAAAAGTCAGCTACAGACTGTAAAATCTAGTCTAGACTGACTATGTAGTCTAGACTACAATATAAATAGGATCACTGTTATTAACAAAAATATAGTTAATCATTTTAATAAATTTCTTTGAATATAGTATATTAGGTAACTTATCAATTAATATATCAAATAACTCCCAAAACTCAGAACAAGAGTCAGTTACAGACTGTAAAATGTAGTCTAGACTGATCTATAGTCTAGACTAAGTAAATCTTCCTGACTTTATACAAAAATGACTGTAATTGATAAAAATATAGTTAATTATTTCGATAAATTCTCAATTAATATATCAAGTTACTCCCAAAAACTTCTATGTCATCTACATTCATCTCATTATATCTATCTCTATCTACCTGTAAGAAGTGTCTCGCTAGCATTCTTCTGTTTAAAGCTCTTTGTTGTCTGGCTTGAGGGCCATTACCCGGGGCGCTTAGTTCTTGACATAAAGCTGTCTTACCGCTACCCGCATCACCTGGGATAGAAAATATTATATAGATAAGAATCTTCTCATTATACAATGTATTCATGTGTCGGGTCCATCGTTGAAGTGAGAGGAACTTCAACAGTGACTGGGACTTGTGACCCAGGTGTAGGTTTAAGGGACCCCCATCTAACGCGCGTTAAACGATCATGAGCCTATGAAATTATATAATTTTGTATAATTTATAAGTAATAAATAATTGTAAGTTAGTTCGTCTATCATGGTTTATATCATATAAAACCATAGTCATATAATTATCATATCATGGCGGGATTAAAACGGGTTTTATTTATTTCTTAACCATCTTTGTAAAGATTGAAACAGTTATTACTACAGTCCTATAAATCACGCAAAATACAAGTTGATTGAAGCGACCTCAGTATTTCGGTACCGAATAGTTTTTTCAGCCATTAATCCTATATTTCGGCCCAAAAACTGAAATTAGTAGTTCGATATACATTTTTTTAATAAAATCCACCCTAAATATATATCGAACAAAAAAACCTCTCGATCATACATTTATTTGTTTGCCGAAATCATCTCCGTACATGAATGACTCGAGACACATTAGCATTTTTTTTATTATATACTAGCTGCGTCCCGCGGTGTTACTCGGATTTCCGTTATATAAAGTAGCCTATGTACTATTCCTTTACTTCAGCGTCCTGTATACAAAATTTTATCAAAATTCCGTCAGCCGTTTGAGTGTGAAGAAGTAACAAACATACACACACTCACAAACTTTCGCAATTATAATATTAGTAGGTAAAAACTCTCACCCAGTATAAGCGTCCCAGCAGTCTTGCTGACCGCTCGCTGCTCTAAGCAATGAGCTATCTTCTGGAACACCCACTCCCTACAGAAGAATCTCCTCTTGTCACACACATCAGACACTCGCGATGTAGACTTCTTCACTCTGTCCTTGTCACGAGCTATTGGACTTAGCGGGGAGCCTGTGTGAGAAATATTGATGAAACATTACAAATAACCTTATATACAGGGTGACTGGTGAATTACTATCAATATTTAAGGAGAATACTCGGTACATGATTCTCATTCGAATCATGTAAAAAAAATAGGTACTTAATTTTTGACCAAATTTCCGTATAAATAAATAAAGTGTTGACACGTTCCAAGTGTTCCAAGTGTGGACGCGCGCGGCGGCGTGCTGATACAACACCACGCCGCCGCACGCGTGTGTGTGTGTGTGTATATATAATCTGTAGGGTGTGCACACGATGCGTAATTAATTACATAACTTTTGGTTAACTTTACTTAGAAGTTTATTAATATTTATGTTATATTAATTTTTAATATGTCATATATGATCGTCAAATATCACGTCCTCAAGTATCGATAGTAATTCACCAGTCACCCTGTATAATATGTATGTCTCATTAAATATATAACAGATTTTTTACGAATAGTGTTACATACATTTTTGTTTTACTTCGATTAATATTGTTATATAACTTTTTGTAAAGACAGTCCATACCTGATGGTGTATACAGAATATTTTTGCAAAAATATTTCTTTTCTATGTAAATATAATGGTTGATGAATAGAACCTTTACTGGAAGATAGCTCTTATTACAGAAAATTACAAAAACATACATTCATCATCATCATCATCCTATCAGAGCCCACTGCTGAGCCTCTTCTCACATGGAGAAGGTTTGAGCATTAATCACCACGCATACTCAAGTCGAGTTGGTGATAACAAACTTATAATTTGATATAAGTCCATGTTTCCTCACAATGTTTTCCTTCATCAGTCAGTGATGTCTAAATACTCTTAAGTACATATGACTCGGAAAAATCACATTGGTACTTGCCAGGATCGAACCCTTATGCACGAGAGGCGGATCTCTAACCACTAGGCCACTACGACTTTATAATAAATATTTACCATCAAAATCAAAGTCTCTCTCTCTATCTCTCTGCCGTCTATTTTCCCTGGAGTTTTCTCTTTCGGGGAATACCCGATGGCCGGTCGGAGTACGCTCCTGTCTCGATGTGATCTCATTCAAAGGAAGTGACCTGGAAATATAATCATTTCTCTGGAATCTAACACCTGGAAACACCTGGAAATATAATCATTACCCTAATACCTGGATCCAGGTCTTATAAAATCAGAAATACCCATTCTATGACCCTCTGAATGCAAAGAAATTTGATCCACTTGGACCTTATTATAGGGCCGTTAAAGGATTTTCTTGCATTTTTGTGATTGAACTCCCAAAATATTTGGATTTTTGATTGAGATATAACAAATATATATATATATATATATATATATATATATACATATATATATATATGTATATATATATGTATGTTCCTAATCAGGAAAATACAGTTAGCAAAGGAAAATGACTTGTCCCGGTGATAATGATTTTGAATCCAGATTAATTGGGGAAAAAAATAATTGGACCTAATTATGTAAATATTATTCAGATATCAATTATAAAATTATTTCTTTATATCATAATAAAAATAAATTATATTGTTTTTAACCTTTTTCTAAATCGAAATATTCATTCATTGATTCATTCATTTACGTACGATTATATTTGAAAATAACAATCCTATTTGATATCTGTTTTAACAAACATTATTATATACATCATTTATTAATATAATTCTAGTTAATTCAATAAATGCAAATAATCTTTCAATTTAATAAATTAATTTAGTCTGATCATGAAATGTTGCCGAAAAGCAGCGGAAAATTCGTATGCAGTAAAAATTATACTAAAAAACGTGTAGTATACCAAAATAGTTACATTTAAACCAAATTAGTTCTTAACACATTACACAAGTCGAGTGCAAAGTTATTGTTAAGGTGGCACTTCACTTCGCGTTGCGTATTCGCCGCATTTGTCCAAATATTTGTACGTAGTCCAAATAGCACAAACATGACATCCACACTTGGCATGCCAACAACGTCTTTACGCGTTTCCGCTTATTTGTGTATGTGTATTTGTGCAAATATGTCAAATGAAGTCGAATAAATCATCCACACATGGTCTTATTTGGCCGAACACGAACGCCAAGTGCAGTGCCACTTAAAGTTACTAACCGTAAATTAACCCGATGTTCTGCTTGCCTGACAGCGGAGTGCCTATGCTGCTGCTGCCTAATGCTGACCTGGTTCTGCCTCAAATACGCTTCAACCTTCCCTTCGTTAGCATCATTCTTCTGACTTCGTCTCACTCTGTTCTCTTCTTTACGTCTAGAATCTCTCTTCTCCAATTTTTCTATCCTACTCTCTAGCGGAGCGTTTAATAGCTGTATATTACCCCCATGATTATAGTTTAGAGGGTCAAAATCTCTCGAATTACCCCTATTTTCTCGCGTGGAGCTACCCTTGGCGTTTTTTGCCCTATATTTTGGGGCAACCTGACTGTATATCGGCATATTCGACATCTTAAACTAGCTTTGGTTAGAAATATATAGGGTGCTTTGGTTTTTAACTAATTACTAGAGGAACCTGGTTGTTTAATAATTTTTATATTAAAATATTTTTCTTTTTATCACAATCGTGAGGTTCGAGGGAGATTCTGAGTTGTGATTAAAATTATAATGACGTATCAAACATCGTCAGCCAGCAACTGGAAAAAAAAATAACATTAATTAGTAAAAAATAATAATTTATAAGTTAAGTTTCATGAAAACAGTTTAATGGCGACCCATTTAATAATTAATATTTATCATTATTTGTACTTTTAAATTTATATAATAAAAAAACTATATCATTAGGGAAAATCAAATTAAATGTGAATCCCTACTAATATTATAAGTGCGAAAGTACCTCTGTCTGTCTGTCCGTCTGTTACGCTTTCACGCCTAAGGGATCGTTCAAGTATTACGTAACGCAATTTTCGAAGATTTTTGACCCCCCCTTCCCCCGTCGTAACGCACAGTAACGTTTTTCTGTAGCCCCCCCCCCCCTTCTCAAAACGTTACGTAACACTCAAGTGATCAATTTCATCAAAAGACTTACAATGCAATCTAGGTATTCCCCGTAAAATATCAATTAAGAGGTTTGCAAACTTGGAATAACAAATAAAAATATCGACCAGACTAATACAAACTGGTCAACAATGTAATGTAAATAGTTGCCAGTTTAGGGGTTTTTATTAATATATTTTTTTTGGAAACAATGCTACGTAACGTTTTGTAAGAGACACCCCCTCCCACCCCAGTAACGCATCGTAACGTTTTACGAGACCCCCCCCCCCTCCCCCAAAATTGCGTTACGTAATACTTGAACGCTCCCTAAACCACTGAACTGATTTTAATGAAATTTGGTACAGAGATAGAGTTAGCCTTGAGAAAGAACATAGGATAGTTTTTATCCCAGATTTTTGAAAGGTTCTCTTGGAAACGAGATATAACCGAACTCCACGCGGACGAGGCTGCGGGAGAAAAGCTAGTTTATATATAATGGTAAAAATTAGTCCAAAGACATAAATAATTATTAATAAAAAATTTCCTAAGTAAAAACGATTCGAGCTTTCTATAAAAAAATCTAAACTATGTCATTAATTTCAGTTCTTATTTGGTTTTTTATAGTTCCCAATGAGATTTTATAGCTGTGAGCTATGTGACACCCCAATTCAGGTCTAAAGCTCCTCAACCCTAGCTCTCAATACCTATTCAACACTGAAAGGGTGAAAAAAGATCGCTCGGAATATAAAAAACATATTACGACACTAAAAAACTATTTAGTTATTTTCATACAGGTTTGCAAATTTTTTCATCGTATGACATCGAATATTAACATGCATAAATACTTATATATTTTAAATCAGTAATAATAAAAACAAATAAAATTATATACATAAAAAGTATTAATTTAAATAAGAATAAAATTTGGCCAATTTGGCGCCAATGAAGCAAATTTCGCGCCACAAAACAAACGTCATTTGAAAATAATTTCTTAAGTACGAAAGGGAAAGAAATATATATCTGTCTCTTTCTTAATCTAATTCAATTAAGGAAATACTCAAAAACAAAGCATTTATTAGCGTTACACCTTATTACATAGTAAATAAGGTTGATTTTCAAATAACTACTTCCTGGGTCTTAAGTATATATTCTCTTTATAATAGCAATAAGGGTCATTTTATTATAACAGTACTTGAGCTTTTTACAATTTTTTTTTAAACCTTATTACCATTGAAATAAGGTTGATTTTTTTCAAGCCTCTCAACTCGATTACCGGACGTCCTGAATTAAAAAAACCGCTTTGTCTCTGTTACTTGAATTAATTTTTATTTGAATATCATACGGGGTACATTAAAAAGTTTAAAATGCGACTTATTTATTTGTAATAGAGTTGATTTTTGTCTGAAGATACTTTTTCTTAGATTTGCTATTTTTTTTTAATACAGGATAAAGACTTTATATAAAAGAAAGTCGTGTTAGTTACAGTATGTATAACTCAAGAACGGCTGTACGGGTATGGATGAAAATTGGTGGAGAGATAGATTAGAACAAGGAGACGGACATAGCATACTTTTCATTGGAATTAAATAGAAAAATAAGTTAATAAAATCCAAAATCTTATCGACTGCTTTTAATGAGTTCGCCCGGTCAGCTATACATTTCTAATTCTGTAACTAACGCAGACGAAGTCGCGGTCAAAAACTAGTAAATAATGTTAACATAGAAAAATCTTTTAGAGATCGTAGCAACAGTGAATCTTCTATTTGTAGTAGTCAGAAATGTTTTGTAATTCAAAGAAAATATTAATTTAAAAAATATATATTTTATGAAATTTTCACACATTATTCACATAGTTGTATATACATATATGGCAATAATAAAAAAAGAATTGCTTAAACAAAAATAGTCATTCAAAATAAGATTCTATAATCATTAGTGATTGAAAACATTAAAAATATTCTTTATTTAATTTCCTAATACATACATATACATATATTTAAGTCAGTGGTGCCCTAGGCCCGCCACTCATGCATGAGGGCGCGTGAAAAATCACACTGGCAAATACCAATGTGATTTTTCCGAGTCATTAATATACTTATACTTTCTTAAAGTATTTAGACATCACTGATTGATGAATTCCCAAAGATTGTTAATGTCATCCGGGCGGCCGATCATAAAAACAATAAACCAAAACTATTCACAGCATCAAACATGTAAGGCAGACCCTGACTATAGCTGGGAAATTGCCAGGAAGAAGATATATATATATATATATATGTATGTGTGTGTTTATGTGTGTGTGTGTGTGTGTGTGCTAATTAATTCAACCCCCTCAGCGTAATCCTCACCCCATACAGCGGTCATTCATCATATATTCAAGAGTTGGAGCCGGGAGCCACATTTGAACAGTCATTTGGGTCAGACAGACGGTTTACATACATACATAATGAATATGATATTATTATTAAAAATATATTTGTTTCATGCTCTCATTAATAAATAGGTGAAAAGATTTTAAGGATTATATGATATTATATATACAGGGTGACTGGTGAATTACTATCGATATTTGAGGACTTGATATTTGACGATTATATATGACAAAATAAAAATTAATATAACATAAATATTAATAAACTTCTAAGTAAAGTTAACCAAAAGTTATGTAATTAATTACGCATCGTATGAACACCCTACAGATTAGGTATACACACACACACACAGACGCGGCGGCGGCGTAGTGTTGTATCAGCACGCCGCCGCACGCGTCCACACTTGGAACACTTGGAACGTGTACACACTTTATTTATTTATACGGAAATTTGGTCAAAAATTAAGTACCTATTTTTTTTACATAATTCGAATGAGAATCATGTACCGAGTATGCTCCTTAAATATTGATAGTAATTCACCAGTCACCATGTATACAACTAGCTTTCCGCGCGCAGTTCGGTTATATCGCGTTCCCAAGAGAACCTTTCAAAAGTCTGGGATAAAAACTATCCTATGTTCTATCTTAAGGTCAACTCTATATCTGTACCAAATTTCATTAAAATCAGTTCAGTGGTTTAGGCGTGAAAGCGTAACAGCCAGACAGACATACAGAGTTACTTTCGCATTTATAATATTAGTAGGGGTATATCATTTATTGTAATTCCTGTGGGAACAAGTCTTAATTGTTGTTTAATATGCTGTCATATAAGAATCATTATACAGTAGGACCCCGATTATCCGGACCTCAGTTATCCGAATTCGCGATTATCCGGACTGCCAATCGCGACGAGTTTTGTTCTAACACTAGCTTTTGCCGCGACTTCGTCCGCGTGGAATAGTGACTTCCGGCATATTTTTGGTTCTTCCCTCATAGTTCCCGTCCTTGCGGGGTTTTCGGAATGGTCGAGTTCCCGTAGAGTTTTCAAGATAAAACCTTTGTTTTTTTTATTCACAATGAAGTACTCTTAACCACCAACATATTTTTTTTTGTTTAGTTGAATAAAGATTAATATTATTATATTGATACAACCTAAACAAATTATTTCGACCAAATTAGTTACCATAAAAAACGGTTTTTGTGAGTTAATTTTAAAAGATAGACATATACTGTCGCGGACTGTTTTTTAGATCATTAAAAGAGCTATTATTCTTTAATACATATTTTAAGGTTTCAAAGATGAAATAATTTCTCCCGTTTTTTACACATTTACCACTATATCTTTGCTCCTATTGGTCGTAGCGTGATGTTATATAGCCCAAAGCCTTCCTCGATAACTGGACTATCCAACACAAAAAGAATTATTCAATTCGAACCAGTAGTTTCGGAGATTAGCGCTTTCAAACAAACAAACTTCAGCTTTATAATATTAGTATAGATTAACATGTCAGAACTTGCATAACGCCACGCCACTCGTGCCGTCCGTGATTTTCGTTGATTCTCGCTCATATGTATTTGTTGTTTTAAATAAACACCTAACATTACATATGTATGGTACAGTCTACATATGTACCTATGCAAAAAGCCCGTTTTTCTTCATATATTGGATTATCCGGACTTTCAATTATCCGGATGCCTACCGACAACAATTAGTCCGGATAATCGAGGTCCTACTGTATATCGCTAGTGGATACTCAAACATATTAGCCTATATATTAGCTTTTATTTTTGTTTTTCTCTAAAGAAAAATTTTTAATCCATGCAAACAGAGTAGAATGCATAAACTAGTTAAAAAGTAAATGATACAAAAGCGAAAATCTTTAGAAAATTTGATATTATATTCTTATTATAGTTTCTTAAATATAATAATTAAATAATATATGTATGTTAGAATAAATACAGCTGCGTGCAAAAGTATTAGGCACCCCTATTGTTAGTCACTATGTCATTAGATAGCGGTCAAGTGTGTGTTTTATGGTTTAGCTATTGTACTAACGGCAATTTTTAACCAAATTAAGATAAAAGAAAATATTTATGACATCCA